AAGATTAGAATAGTGTACAACAGCCTTAATGTGCACTGAGTGCGCACCAGTGCAACCAGTGAAATACGCTATTAGTAAGTTAAAAGTTTATTATCGCAAACCTTATTTACCTAGAAAGAATGAACATTGATTAATGCAAATAAAAATTTATTTAATTTAACAGAATATTTCCTATGATTTGCTATTACAGAATATTAAAAAAAAACTTTTTATCAAACTGCGCACTATTAAATGTACGTTACTAAAGCTACATTGGACGCGCATGCGTCAGAAATCCGGTCCGTCTAACAACACTGACTTATACTGCATATCCCTTGAAACAATGGTATATTTATTATCATACATTTCAAAACTTGTGTATGCACTTTCAACAATTTTGTAATTTACTATCTTCATAATTATTATGAACATTGCAAAATATTATATCTGGAGACACTGGTAGTGTCTCGGCGCTAAGCTGCGCGAAGCGACACTGCCGTGCCTCCTTTACGCGAACCGACGAGTTGCGGCAGATCGAGATTATAGGATCTCAATAACGGCTGAACCGATCGCGTTCTATGTATGCTCAATCGATAGCCACCACACGGATTGTGCGATAAAAGTGCTTTTATTTTTTTTCTACGTGCGCTACGAGCGGAGATATCGCGACGCAAAGTTCCGAACTGCTACTTTTTCAGTCCATTTTCAGATACGTCGTCCTTATTATTATCGTCGTTATTGTCGTCGTCGACCAGGAGAAAATGTCCTCGGTTTTTCGACACTAGAGGGCTTTTGACTTAACCTAGCGATGGCAGCATTGCACATTCGAATATGACCACTGAACTATACTACTGGAAAGCGCTCTGAGGCCATTCGCCTGAACCGACAGATAGAGTAAATGTGAACCCCTTTGTCCTTGTCGGTACAGTCTGAATCAAGAGTGCTTTCCATGCGTCTGCGCATGTGCAGTTCCAAATCTGGAGACACTGGTAGTGTCTCGGCGCTAAGCTGCGCAGAGCGTTGTTTGATACTTTATAGAGGATAAAATAAATATGTTTATTGTTGTTTCTATGTTTATCACTAATTAATAGTGTAGTATACATAATTATTTTAAAAGAACTGCAGTTGAAAAAATTTGCAGATAATTTTTTCCTCGTTATAAAACTGAAAATTAAAAATTATATAACATTTATATGTCTAGATATGAGCGTATATTTTTTTATTTTGTTATTAATCATGAAAAAAACATATTTTTGTAATTAGCAGTTTATTCAAATTACAATTATTTTTCGTGAAAAATTATATTTGCATAAATCTGATGATGTACTTGAACATGCTGAGGTTGTACTCTGTGTTTGTGATCTGTAAATAAAAAATAAATTAGTTGTAAACATTTTCAAAATAAGTATGCAATTATTTTCAAAATTTCATAGCAATAAGTATAAAACCATTTTGGTTACATACCAGTGAAGAATATAACACAAAAAGTAAAGTCATTCATAGAAAAAGTTAAAGGAAAAAAGTAATACAATAACATTTTAATATACATATATATTTGTATAAAAGCAATTATATAAAAAGATACAAGCAGAAATGAAAATAGAAGAATATAAATGTTATAACATGCATAAAATTGCACTTTAGTAACAATCAGCATAAAAATAAGAATGTAGCGTTAAACATCTTGAAATGAAAATAGAATTATAAATGTTATAACATGCATAAAATTGCACTTTAGTAACAATCAGCATAAAAATAAGAGCGTTAAACATCTTGGTGCGAATCAAACAAACATCCCCATGGGAGCGGAACGCGAAATCTATGTACGTGGTTCACATACTGTTTTCGTGTGGGAAAATTTATTAAGGATTTGTTTTCTGTTCTGAACTGACTGCATTACATTGCTTACTGGCTCCTTCACACACACACATTGGAGGAACAAAAATAAACTCTGAACTAGTGCAGCCAGTTCGGGAACAGAAAACAGACCCTAAAATTAAAAATAAGAATGTCATTTTTAATATGATAGTGAAAAGCAAAGACCTCCACACAATGAAGAAAAATTAAGAAAGATAAGAAATAAAATGAAAGAAAAAAAATAAAAAAACTAATTAAAAGAACCAATACTGATTGCATGCTTATTTCTTATTTGTTATTCTTTTATTGCGCGAAGGTCCAAACAAACGTACTTTTTTAAATACTAATAAAATCTTAAATGTGATAATAATAAAACAAATTTAAAATAATTAACATGGAAAATAAAATATTAAAACTGGGAACACATAGAAAAACATAAGCGGTAAAACTTTAGTATTAAGCGAACCAACTAATCATAATTGAGATCTTAACATAAGCTGCGACGAATGAAACATGTTGACTTCCTTATTGCTTACGTTTTTCTATGTGTTAGCTTAAACGTGAAGAAAAAAAATTGTCTTGTTAAGTTTCTGTCGCAGGGTTGCTTTCGAGTCTAGATATTTTAGTGTATTAGTTTTCGCATAAGCGTATAATCTTATTTTTGTATACAGTGCAATAACATATTTGATGATTTTAATTTCATGTATTTCTTCACATAGATTACTCGTTTCGACAATGGGGTGATCTGGCTTAAATAATATTTTCAATGAAGGCATAAATTGCTTTATAGCAGCAGCAGTGATTTTGTCTTTGAAATTAATGTTTCCATTGAAACCAACAGTTATCTCTGCTTTAAAAGCTTTTTCGCAAAATATGACTAATTCAAAAATGCATTTTGATGGGATTTTTAGCCTTCCTCTATTCACAAAATCTAAAAATCCAGAGTCAGAATTGTAATAATTATGATCTTTTGAATGGGATGATGCAACGACAATTTCATGGCAGTAAGAACATTGAAATTTTTTCACGAATTTGTTCGCTATATTGCCAGCAATATAATACAAGATATTTCGTTGGTAATATGATAATTCCACATGGTCTAATCTCATCATTAAATCTTTCAACTCACGATTGTCGCGATCAGTGCAATGTACATCTTGAATGGCTCGTGTGCTCTTCCGAAATTCAAAAGCAGGCGACAATTCAAATCCTTCTGACAAGCAGTTGGAATTTATGCTCGGTTCAACAGAATTACGATGAAGGAGTCGACGTACCGACCACAATTCCCCCCCCCCCCCCCCCCGCAATCCAAGACAAGAGAAATAAAGTTCGATATGATCTTGAGAACATTTATAGGTCAGAAAATATGTAAAGCACTTATCTCTGTCAGGACAAAGTAAATATATAGCGAAATTTCTGAAACTGCAGATATCAATTAAAAAACCCAGTGCAAACGTTTTTCGTTGATGTCGCAACAAAGGCATGTCCTCTAATGTTAATGTTCGGATATACTGCTCTGTTTCGACAAAAATCTTATTCCAGTATTCTAAATTTGACCATTTTAATGGTGTTTTGTAATCCTTCCCAAAAATATTTCTACTATTCATTAAATCAAAAATTCTGTCAAACATGCAAAGAAATTCAGTTGTTGCTTCACTGCCATAAAATTCTTTAAGTTTGCAATGATCCCTTAAGTAATTAATTGCATCTGCAACGCTTCTACTGATTGTTTGGGCCGCAATGGAAATATTCATTTTTTTATTTTTGAATTGTATATGTTTACTTGAAAGCTTATTTGCAAATTTAAATCCTTCGGTTTCTTGTAGTTCGTGTAATTTTTCAATATAGTGAAATGATATCGTTCCCTTGGGTGATTGTATGAATTTATCATTAAAAGTATTACGACAGAATTTAAGCATATGACAAGGATCCATTATTACGTGAATATCGGTCTGCAGATTAGGATGCTTGAACGAAGTCTTCATTTCATCGAGTTTAAAATTACAACCCAACAGTTCGTAAGTAGAGAAATTTACCTGAGTTCCATCGCCAGTTTAAAGTGTGTACAGTGACACCGACATCATAAAGTTTTTTTATGGCGAGATCAATTAATTTACTTTGATTCGTGGCAGTGATACCGTTAATGAAAAAATGTGCAATTGGCATTTTGAATGCATGTTTAGAAACAATCTGGAAAGCTAAAACTTCTTTGGCAAAATCGTTAGAATTAATTTCCAATTTCAACTCTGTCGTTGCATTACCATAGTCGACTCTACCTCTCAAAGTGTTTTCCTTATTATCTACAATCTCTTGTGTTCGTATAGCCATCGCATCAAATATTAAACCTACATCTCTAACAAACTCCGATTTTTTAGTTTCTTCTTTCAAAAAATCAAAAACTGTTAAAAATCTAGGTTCGCACGAGGACTGTCCTACCCATGTTCTCAAAACTGCTTCATGAGGTAAATATATATATTGCGATCGTATAAATTTGTACGCTTTTGGAGAATAAAAGTATAACGTGGAAGCGAATTCTTTAATTTTTTCGGAGTAACATCGTCGCGTTTTTCCAACTTTACAATTATCAATGGTATTTTTGAAAAGTGTCAAATTTAATCCAGAAAATTTTTTCAATAAAACCTCTTCCAACACATGAGAGCTATTACCTTTTTTCTGCAGTTGCTTTAATAATATGGTCACAGTCGATAATCTTGCTTGCTTATATCGAAGTTTAGTTTTAAGCCTTTTAATTTCTTGTGCCTGACTTTCTTCTTTCATTGTTGGACGTAAACGCCGAGGAGAAATTTGAGTAGCAACTTCCTTTCTCTACAAATAAAACAAAGTTGCGTTATTCTGAATAATGAAAATAAACAAAACAATATTTGAAAAACTTACTTTTTTTATTTCTGCACTGGGTGATGGAGAACGAGATGGCGAATGTGGACGTTTCAGCGTATTACGAACTGATGATATAGGTGTTTCAATTGAAATTTCTTCCAATGCCAAAGTTGTAGTACATGTTAGGATTTGATTCAAGTGATGAGCAATCTATAATAAATATTTTTAAACCAAATCAAAATTTTCACACAAAAAAATACATATCATACGTCATATTTGAACTTACATTTTTCTGAATATCATACTTGAAAATTGAAGGAATGGCATTGTTCTTCAAATAACGTCTACCAGACATTTCTTGATATGATGATCGATTGAAGTGTTTGCTACAAATTTTGGAACATTTTGAAATTTGTTGATTAGCAGGCATGACGTCCATCCATTGAGCCAGTAATTCCTTATTTTTTAACGGAAATCTTAAACAAAGGAGAAACAAAAATATTGCATATGTAGAAATATTTATTTCAATAAAAGTGGGCTAGTCTAACTCAAGGGATAACTCCAGTAACATGCAAGAGATATACATATACGACGCCGCGACGAAACGAAAATGATTTGTTACAACATGAACATATCACTGTTATTCTTTCACGTTCTACAATTAATTGTTAACATGTTTTCAAAATCGAAAATAGGCATCTTGTATTGTTAATGTTTTCAGGTTATATTTATGCATATTTATGTTATTCATATTAATAATTACCTAAAGAAAGAGATATCTTCATACGCACTGTGAATAGATTTACATGCTTTAACACAACATTTGTGGACCATTTTTCTATTTATTTCGTAAAAAATGCAATTACATTTCATTAACCAAACCATTGAACTAACCTTCTTCTTCTTCTTCTATTATTGGCCCCGCAACCTAGACAGGCTGGTACTGGGCCATTGAGGTCTTCGTAATTGAACTAAACGTAATTGGGAACGCTAAGCACCGGCCACCTCGAACCGGGCGAGTGATGGATGATGCAATAAAAAATGGTGAGGCGCCCCTTCAAACACTGGACGCCTGCGGCTACGACGCTTCCACGCCGCACGGCTGCGCGCCAAGACGGATGAAGGGACTATCGGAATTGAAATACTAAGGCACAGTCCAAGCCGGCAACGCTTTTCAAAAATATAGTCGAGGTGACGCAACACCCGAGACGAGAGGGAACACGTCCGACCCGCTCGAGTGGTCTACCATTGAACTAACCGATTCACTTCTGACGCTTTGGATCAACAATACTTTTGATTCTGAATGTACGTCGGTCGAATGCGCATGCGCGATGAAGGGCTCACATTAGCTCTCTCTGTTTCTTACGCCGTTTCAGAGGGCAGAGCGCTTTCCAGTAGTATAGTTCAGTGAATGTGACCAACCACACATGACGGCTGTGATAATCAGCGATGGCACATTGTCACATATACGATGTGACGTGCCCGCGGCGTTATTATTAAATAATTAAATTTCATTTTAAAATTTCAATTAATTATTATTATAATTAATTGAAATTTTAAAATGAAATTTAATTAATAAAATGTATTAAAATAAAGTATTAATTATAATTAAAATGAAATATCGAGATTGTCGTTGAAGATCTAGGTATTTACCGCGTCGAGGAAGAGGGTGTATAGATATTCAGGAATTAAGCGTCTAGGTGTTCGCCGTCGAGGAATTAAGCGTCTAGATGTTTGTCGTCGAGGAAGTGGGTGTCTAGGTCGAAGAAATGGGTGTCTAGGTGTTCGCCGTCGAGGAAGTGGGCGTCTAGGTGTTCGCCGTCGAAGAAGTGAGTGTCTATTAGGGAAATGGGTGTTTAGGTATTCGCCGTCGAGGAAATGGATGTCTAGGTGTTCGCCGTCGAAGAAGTGAGTGTCTAGGTGTTGTCTACGTGTTCGTCGTCGAGGAAATTGGTGTCTAAGTGTTCGCCATCGAGGAAATGAGTGTTTAGGTGTTCGCCGTCGAGGTAGTGGGTGTCTAGGTGTTCGCCGTCGAGGAACTTGGTGTATAGGTGTTCGCCGTCGAGGAAATGGATGTCTAGGTGTACGCCGTCGAGGAAGTTGGTGTCTAGGTGTTTGCCATCGAGGAAATGAGCGTCTAGGTGATCGCCGTCGAGGAAGTGGGTGTCTAGGTGCTCGCTATTGAGGAAATGGGTGTCTAGGTATTCGCCGTCGAGGAAGTGGACGTCTAGGTGTTCGCCGTCGAAGAAGTGAGTGTCTGGGTGCTCGCTGTCGAAGCAATAAGTGTCTAGGTGTTGTCTACATGTTCGACGTCGAGGAAGTGGGTGTCCAGGTGTTCGCCGTCGAGGAAATGGGTGTCTAGGTATTCGCCGTCGAGGAACTTGGTGTATAGGTGTTCGCCGTCGAGGAAGTTGGTGTCTGGGTGTTCGCCATCGAGGAAATGAGTGTCTAGGTGTTCGTCGTCGAGGAAGTAGGTGTCTAGGTGTTCGTCGTCGAGGAAGTGGGTGTCTAGATGTTCGCTGTCGAGGAAGTGGGTGTCTAGGTGTTCGCCGTCGAGGAAATGGGTGTCTAGGTGTTCGCCGTCGAGGAAGTGGGCGTCTAGGTGTTGTCTACATGTTCGCCGTCGATGAAGTTGGTGTCTAGGTGTTCGCCGTCGAGGAATTGAGGGTCTAGGTGTTCGCCGTCGAGGAAATGGGTGTCTAGGTGTTCGTCGTCGAGGAAGTGGATGTCTAGGTCGAAGAAATGGGTGTCTAGGTATTCGCCGTCGAGGAAATGGGCGTCTAGGTGTTGTCTACATGTTCGCCATCGAGGAAATGAGTGTCTAGGTGTTCGTCGTCGAGGAAGTGGATGTCTAGGTCGAAGAAATGGGTGTCTAGGTATTCGCCGTCGAGGAATTGAGGGTCTAGGTGTTCGCCATCGAGGAAATGAGTGTCTAGGTGTTCGCTGTCGAGGAAGTGGGTGTCTAGTAGGGATGGGCGATGTTGGAAAGAAAGATCGGTGCTGAATTAATCGACGTTTGAATACATCGAGGTTGAATATTCGATTATTGATCAAAAATATCGATTAATCGGTTTTTTTGAAAGAAGTATTTTTTAATTGTAGAAATGACTTTATAAGAGATGATTTTATAAAGGAATAACGCAAATTAATGAATACATTTTATTTTATTTTTGTCTTTCTCTCTCTCTCTCTCCCTCTCTCCCTCTGATAAAATAATTTCTCAGGTTTCAGTTTTCCGAAATGCGGTGCACTTGTAGGTTGATGCTGAAACTATAAATAATTTTCAGAAAAATTATACTATTGTTGCTAATGCATGCTTTTACAACAAATCATAAATGCAGACATTGTTTAATGAACGTATAGTATTTTGGTTAAAGGAAATAATATGTTTTCAAGGAAATAGTTCAAGATGGAAAGTTCTGTTTAATTGGAAGTAATGCATACATAACATTTTCAACTATTTTACATACGCATCTTACACAATACGCAATTAAACATTTAAATAAAATAAATATTTGTAAACCAAGGGATAATCTTGTAATAAAACATAAATCTCACTTTCAATAAGAAGAATAAACAAATTAAAAGCAAAAATAAACAAAACAGAACAGACAAGTATCAAAATCACAGTACAGTACAAAATCACAGAGTAGAGACAAGTAAAATCATAGTATTTTTATGTAAGTCCCCATTCTTCTTTTGACAGACTGCTCAAAAACAGTAACATATTTAGATGCTCACCAGTAAGACGGCTGCGATTATCAGTTTTCACATTTCCTGCATGTGAAAATAAACGTTCGCATGGTACTGAAGTTGAAATAACACTCAAATACTGCAATGCTAATTTGGACAGTATTGGAAATGCATGCTTAAATGATTTCCAATATTTAAAAACATTCTCTGAACGTTTAATTACTGGTTGATGCAAATATTGTTTTAATTCTAAATTCCAACTTTCATCTGTATTATTTATCTCTCTATTTTTTAATACAAGATTATCATGAAAATGCCACAAATTTGAAGTTGGACTATTTGCGTTATTAGCATCTTGATTGTTTTCTTTTTCCACATTTTCACGTGGACGGTTGGAGATCTTTTTTAACTGATTGTCAATGTCTTGAATTGCTTGGGAAGCTGCTAAAGCACTTTTGAAATGTAGCCTTTTGAAGCGAGGATCTAAAATTGTTGAGATTGCAAGAATTCGAGTCGATTCCAGATATTGAAATTTTTTGTTGAACTGATTGAGCAATTTCTCCTGAAACTCGTTGCCAATTTCTGTTGTAGTCACGCAATTAGTAACAGCTGCTGTCATGCAGTGGATAATTGGAATTATGACGCTACAAGTGGGATAGTTTTCCCCGCTTATCTCGGTAATTACACTTGCAACAGGTTCCATCAATGCTACTAAATCCTTTAAAACAAGAATTTCAATCCTTGTGAGCATATCTGGCATATTAGCACATTTCAGCATTACTGGATAAACATAATCTTCTAATGCCAAAAAACGTTCTAACATGTAGTAAGTTGTATTCCATCGTGTTTCAACATCTTGAATAAACTTCAATATCGTTCCATCAGTTTTTCCATCACGTTTCTGCAATCTTTTCAATTCATCTGATGCGACAATACTGTGTGCCTGGTGAGGCTCACAATCTTTTTTACCTTAGTTATAATTTGTATGGCAGACTGGTTGGACTGTAGTGCGTTCGGCACCAAATGAGATAGAATGTGCGCAAAGCAAGCTAATTGTTTACTATTTCCAACTAATTTAGTAACCGCACTTTTAATATTTGCTGCACTATCACTAATAACAGCCATGACTTTGTTTAAATCTATGTGGAAATCTTCCATAACTTTTAATAAAGAATCATGTAAGTAATCACTGGTATGATTTCTGTCTAATGGTAAAACTCCCAAACAACCATTTTTCATCTCACAATCAGCTTCCAGGTAATGAATTGTGACACCAAGGTAACTCTGATTGGAAACGTCAGACCAATTGTCACATGTTAAAGTATATGATGATACTTTTTGAATTTTCTCTCGAAATTGTTCTTTCATTGTTTGATGTCTTGATTCCATTAAATTAGTAATAGTTTTTCTACTTGGAATGTTATATAAAGGAACTATAGTTTTCATGAGTGTTTTGAATCCCTTCGCCTCTACTGTGGAGAGAGGAAGCTTATCAACAGCAATCATATACATGAGTGACAATGTTATTCTATCTGCAGTCTGTCCGCCCTCTGGAAATACATTTTTAATTGTTATTATATGTACATACATATATATTTATTATATAGTATTATATATACATTTGTTTTTTTTATTTATATTATTTATTTATTTACTTATTTATTTTACTTATTTTGTTATTTGACTTGTTTTTGTTATTATTATATATTTGTTTTTCAATCTTTTACTAACCTCCAAATGATCTTATTCTGCTGAAAGCATCATCAATTCGTAATTCGCCCTGTAATTATTGTTTGCTTTTAGAGTGTATCAGTGTAATATATATTTCATTTTATATACAATTATTTATTTTATTTTACATCATTTAAATCATATCTGGCGTTTGTTTCTTTTAAAAACTTGAAGAGTTTCAGCGGTCGATGCAGAACCTTCTTTAAAAGACTCATTGTCAGAATCACATTTTCTTTTCTTTGCTTGTGATATTAATATTTTATGCTTTCGTGAAATATGTTGCATTAAGTTTGTTGTATTTCCGCTATGTTTTATAATTTTATCACAAAAAGAGCATTTTGCTGATATGTCATTATATTTTGTATAATGTTTCCATGCAAGACTTTTTTGTTTGATGGGAAGATTCTTCTGTGGTTTGTTTGAAAGGGGTTGATCCCTTGAACTTTCAGATGAAATTTCATTACTTTCTTCTCCAATTTCTTGAATATCTGTTGACAATGTATTAATGATAAGGTTATAATTTTTGTAGTCAAAGTGTTCATAGAGAAGTTCAGAAACTATATACATATATATATATAATTACACAATGTTTATAATAAAAATATTGTTTACCGTCGTCGTTATGATATCCTTGACTCATTGTCAATGTAACGAGAGAATACTCAATACATCCAACCAGAGAGAAGCGTGTATATAAGTATATACTGGAATAAATTGGCATCCAAGCTGAGATACTTTAGCGGTTAGCCTAGTAATCACGATAACTTCAATATTATGTCCGGTGTCGTTGCGACTAATGGCGAATGGCGATGAAGACGGTTAGCGCGCAGTTAACCTATTATTATCCTTAAGGCCGTGATACAATAGAAGGAATAAGAAATTAAGGCTACGGTCAAACGGATGCTACAGATGCTTTGAAGCGTTTGATCGATCAATTAGAATAAAGAAATTTACATTCTTTTTATCTTGATTGGTCGATCAAACGCTTCCGAAGCATCTGCAGCATCCGCTTGACCGTAGTCTAAGAAATAAAGCTAAGGAATAAGCGAATCGACCAATCACAGTCGAGTGATATAAGGCAGCCATTACCTTATTTCTTATTCGTTCCATTGTGATTTGTGACACGACCTTATTAGATGAAAAATAATTTTTTTTAAAAACGCCGATTTAACATATAAAATCGATGCATCGATGCATCGCTGAGAAAGACATCGAGTGGATTAATCGACTATTCGAAAAAAAACTATCGACCATTTCGAATAATCGGCAAACATCGCCCATCCCTAGTGTCTAGGTGTTCGCCGTCGAGGAAATGGGTGTCTAGGTGTTCGCCGTCGAGGAAGTGGGCGTCTAGGTGTTGTCTACATGTTCGCCGTCGATGAAGTTGGTGTCTAGGTGTTCGCCGTCGAGGAATTGAGGGTCTAGGTGTTCGCCGTCGAGGAAATGGGTGTCTAGGTATTCGCCGTCGAGGAAGTGGGTGTCTTGGTATTCGCCGTCGAGGAAGTGGGCGTCTAGGTGTTGTCTACATGTTCGCCGTCGGGGAAGTGGGTGTCTAGATGTCCGCCGTCGAGGAAGTTGGAGTCTAGGTGTTCGCTGTTTAGGGAATGTGTGTCTAGGTATTCGCCTATCATCAATGGACGTCTCAAAAAAGCAAAATAGAATCACGCTACATCAATGCTTGATTATTCGCTAGTGCGTGATATCTCTGCATTCCTATTTAATTGTAATGAAAGTAATGATTACGTGATGAAAATCTTCTGTCTATAATAGCAAGTCTGCTGATTAAATAATCGATGATTAAGTTAATCGACGTTGCTATTACAATACAATTATTACAGTAATATAATGTATGTATAAGGAATAAAAATAGTTCGTGTAACTGCCAATTAATGCAAGGCAAGATTGATTAACACTATTTAGGGCGACTGTTACCAACGTCGATTAATTGAATCGACGATTAACTTAATCAGCAATATAGCCAACAGCAAGTCCGTATGTCGTTTTTAATCTTAGGTTTGTTCTTTTTTCTAAATATTACATTTTTTAAGTATTACATTCTTATTTTTCTTATTTTTCTAAATATTATTGGGAGTGTGAATAAGTTCTCGCCGTTTTTTTGTGAAAATAAATCTTTTATAAAAAAAAATAATAAAAAAACAAGTCAATTAAAGTATTGCCCATCGCTGGAGACAACTTTTTCCCATCTTTCTGGCAGCATTTGGATTCCACGTCGAAAAAACGATACTTCTTTTGCGGCTATCCACGAATCGATCCAATTTTTGGTATTTTCGTATGATGTGAACTGCTTCTCAGACAGGCCGTGCGTCATCGATCGAAATAGATGGTAATCAGAAGGCGCAGTGTCTGGTGAATACGGCGGG